GACCCATAACACCCCCAAATACGTTAGGTTGTATTAATCGCTAGGCCCGGCGACCTATTGACATAAATTCTGGACTTGGCGGTTGGTGAGGGCTTGTGCGTCACTAACGGGAATACTTATGTAGCGCTTTCTTGGGCCTATTCGCCTCTGGTTATGGAAAGTGAGAACGGATAATACTAACTTGGCTTCCCGTGACGGTTAGTTGGAGATTGTCAAGGTGAAGACATGAAACCCAGATCAAATATTCTTAAAGCATGCCTCAATAGAAGCTCTCGTTATAGGCGCCAATTGTGGAACTTACTGGAAAAGGAGTGTGAAAACTCAAACCCAAACATGACCGAAAGCCGCGGACGGCCTAGTTATTTCTTGGATGCGTCTTCTCAAGGCTCACCATCCCTGCACCGTATCTCCTCTGACAAGCCCCGGCTTCTTCCCTTTCCCCCTGATCATCCTGCTCCGCCACCCTCCAATAAACCTCTACGAGTCCCGTCCTGGACGCATCCCACCTCTCCCAGCTCTCCTTGCTGATGTCCCACTCTTCAAATTCCACCCAAGCCCTGGCACCCCTAACCCCCGCCACATCTACCAGGCCGAAAGCCTCCCCCTGCAAGCCCGTCGCAAACACCACACTGGCGAAAATCACACTCTGCAAGGCCTGCCAGTCCGGGCCGGGGTGCGTCATAGCGATGGACAAGGATTCGAAAACGTGTGGGAGGGTATTGTGCAAGCACCCTTCCTGGTGCCTAGTGATGCAGGATGTGGAGTCCAGACAGAGCTTCTTGAGCATAGGAGAGAGGTTGTGAAAGTGCACAAAGAGCACCTCAGGATGCGCGGGCGGGCGTGCACCCGCGAAGGAATCTTGAACCGCCAGACTGTGCGAGTCGTAGGCATCGAGCATCAGCGGAACGTACGAGTCCTGAAAGCTCACGCACAGATTCCGCAGCGCGAGCACCTGCTGCGCAAAATCCTCGGAAACCCTGGGCAATTCCGCCAGCAACCTGTTCCCTTCGGGGAATACGTCCAGAAGTTCCGAGGAAATGGGGGCGGGGACGTGCGTCTCGACGCTGTCCACAACGACCCCACTGAGCCTCTCCATGTTCTCCGCCAACGTGTCCACGATTCCCGTCACGCGGCGCAGGAACGTGCCTATGCCGGGCTCGGTGACGGTGCCGCTCCCGCACTGGTAGGGAAGTGAAGCCGCAGCGACGCGGCGGAGGCGCTGGAAGTTCTCGCTCATGTCGCACTTGTAGCGCGATATCACGTCGAGGAGGGCCCCTTCGCGCTCCTCGGAGAGGCCCCGCTCGGATTCAAGGCAGTTGATGCGGTGTTGGAGGCTTGCACCCCTCTCGCGCTCGAGGTTGAGTTGGGATTGGAGGTGTGCGACCTGGGAGTCGCTGGCGGATTTGAAGCGGTGCATTTTGGGTACGATACTGGTTTGTGTGTGTGATGCTACTTTGTTCAAGGGAGGAATAGTGAAGGATGGATTGGTGCTCGTGGGGGTTTTTTTATATTTATTTATTTATTTATATTCCTATCATATTGAGTGTTGTAATTCTTGAATGTCGTACCTCTAGTATGGTGAGTGTCGGATGGAGGTTTTTTTTTTTTTTTTAAAAAAAAAAAAAAACCAACTGTGTCTTGACTACGTCCATCGGACGGATGCTTTTTCAAGAGGTAACATTTCGGAATCATGTGATGTCACTCATAGTGTTCCGAGCCATGCCTGCTTGCTAGGCCAAACACGAATCCTCATGGGAAGAGCATTCATATTTAAGAGATATTCTGGAGTGGATTTCTAGTTTATTGTTATTACTATTGTTACTATTTTTCTGGCATCGACTTTTGGAAAGAGGAAAAGAATTGGAGGATATATGATACTATGAAACAAAAAAAACAAACTAAAAAGCTATATCCAGCTTTCTCATCATTAGCCAAGCATGTTTTCAAGTCACATCACGTCACTTGGAGGAATGATCCCCGACCCGTCAGGAGGGGGGGTGAAACCGCATATATGCGTATGATATTGTGATACCAACGCTGACAACGCCCTAAACTTTCGGAAGTGGAAGGTAATTTACCAATCAAGGGTTTCCCTGATTGGGACGTAGGTATCATAGGTAGGTAAGTGTAAAGCCCGAGGTGTGAGACCGTATGAGATGATATGGTAGAAAGGAAGTCATGGTGGAAAAGAGTCGTGCCAATGATTATGGTACGGGTAATCGGTTGTAGAAGGGAGGGAGGGGTGCCGTACTGTGGGTTAATCGGGAGATCTGAGGCTGAGCTATTATACCTGTACAGCACAGTACTATACAGTGCAATGCAATAATATCTTTATTGCGTCTCTTTCGAAGGCTAGACTGAGGGTGCCGGTAAATTCCACTGTTGGCTCTGCTGATTTGGTTGGTGGGTGTGGTTGGGAAATGGGTGGGTTCGAGGTGGATGGATCGCTTTGGTTGGCTTGGCCCTGTGCGTGGGAGAGGGAGGGTCGGATTTATAGAAGCATTATCGTGACGGGATGTATCATATCATGGTTCCTATGATGAGAGATAGGTGGTTTATGTTGCTAGGGTTTAGAGCCTGTGGGTTAGTGTGTGGTCCCGGGGGGCTTAATTTACGGACTTGTCCATCGGGGTCAGTGCCTGATCGCGCTGATGGGAGGTGGGGGAGGAGGAGTAGCGTACTCCTCCGTCTTTTT